CGGTGGGATTGCCGATGAAGCAAACGTATGTTTGTTATAGTAATCGACAACGTTACTTATATTCGTATTAGAGTAGGGTTTCGAGACTACCAGTAACTCAGTGTAATGAGATGGTTTGTACTGCCGGCTGATTTGCTGGCATCCTTGGTTCAGTGGAGGAGTGGCGAATTACAAGCCATTATGTTGGAGGCGCTGATAAGACCCGTGCTAGGTTTAGGATGGAGTAAAGGTTGGATGAGAAGAAGCTTTTGGTAGGCAAAGCTAAGTGGAATGCGATGGCATCTTGAGGTATAGTCACATCATCATTGGAAAAACCCTACCATCAGTACTTATTTCACTTTAACCGACCTATGCTAAGTTTTAATCGGAAACAGCAAAATGTCTCACTCCGAAGAAAATGTAGTCGGCAAAGATGGAAAGTGAAGCCGTCACACTGAGCGAGATCACGGCCAACAATGCCGAGGCTGTGAGGACGCAAGCACACGCCCAGAGGAGTTCAGCCAGTGTGGAGCCGACTATTGCGTTGGTAAGAAGGGTCAGCCAGGTCTGCCACGGAGTGCTCGGCTCAGAGACGGCGGAGGCAGGCACCAGCTCAGGCGGGAGGCGCTCGATGTCGAGCCAGTGGAACACGATCAGAAGGGGCCAACTGGAGACCAGGCAGAGGATCCCAGCGATGCCGAAAAGAAGTGGCATGCTGGGCATGTCGCTGAGGTCGCTGATCGAGGATTCTGATCTGGAGTTGTTCGCTGGTGTGACGGTTTCCAGCTTATGGGAAAGAGGAATAGTAACAGCATAGAATAAGACTCAAGGCAGATCTACTTCGAGCGAGCCCAACCAATTGAAATGGCATGCTCTGGCATCCAGTTTACAGCAAGGGCTGAGCCCCGTGACACAGTGTGAGGCGAATTGCCCACTTTTCACTTAGTGTTGACCCTAGCGATGGACACCTGACCTCCAGACTTGATACATTCACACCTTCAACGGAGGCCATTTCGTGCGGCAGGAGTCTCC